GGGAAGATGGAAGGAATATTTTGAGGAATTGTTAAATGTTGATGAAGATAGGGAAGCTGTGATTTCGTGTATAGGGCAAGGAGGAATAACATCTTGTAGGAGTGAGGAAGAGCCAGTTGTGAGTGTGGGGGAAGTTCGTGAGGCAGTAGGTAAAATGAAAGGGGGTAAGGCAGCCGGGATTGATGGGATAAAGATAGAAATGTTAAAAGCAGGTGGGATATAGTTTTGGAGTGGTTGGTGCAATTATTTAATAAATGTATGGAAGAGGGTAAGGTACCTAGGGATTGGCAGAGAGCATGCATAGTTCCTTTGTATAAAGGCAAAGGGGATAAAAGAGAGTGCAAAAATTATAGGGGATAAGTCTGTTGAGTGTACCTGGTAAAGTGTATGGTAGAGTTATAATTGAAAGAATTAAGAGTAAGACGGAGAATAGGATAGCAGATGAACAAGGAGGCTTTAGGAAAGGTAGGGGTGTGTGGGACCAGGTGTTTACAGTGAAACATATAAGTGAACAGTATTTAGAATAAGGCTAAAGAGGTCTTTGTGGCATTTATGGATTTGGAAAAGGCGTATGACAGGGTGGATAGGGGGGCAATGTGGCAGATGTTGCAAGTGTATGGTGTAGGAGGTAGGTTACTGAAAGCAGTGAAGAGTTTTTACGAGGATAGTGAGGCTCAAGTTAGAGTATGTAGGAAAGAGGGAAATTTTTTCCCAGTAAAAGTAGGCCTTAGACAAGGATGTGTGATGTCACCGTGGTTGTTTAATATATTTATAGATGGGGTTGTAAGAGAAGTAAATGCGAGGGTCTTGGCAAGAGGCGTGGAGTTAAAAGATAAAGAATCACACACAAAGTGGGAGTTGTCACAGCTGCTCTTTGCTGATGACACTGTGCTCTTGGGAGATTCTGAAGAGAAGTTGCAGAGATTGGTGGATGAATTTGGTAGGGTGTGCAAAAGAAGAAAATTAAAGGTGAATACAGGAAAGAGTAAGGTTTATGAGGATAACAAAAAGATTAGGTGATGAAAGATTGAATATCAGATTGGAGGGAGAGAGTATGGAGGAGGTGAACGTATTCAGATATTTGGGAGTGGACGTGTCAGCGGATGGGTCTATGAAAGATAGGTGAATCATAGAATTGATGAGGGAAAAAGAGTGAGTGGTGCACTTAGGAGTCTGTGGAGACAAAGAACTTTGCCCCTTAAAAAAGGCCCCAAAAAAGGGGAATGTATGAGAGAAAATAGTTTTCCCAACGCTCTTATATGGGTGTAAAGCGGGGGTTTGAGGGAATGTTGCAGCGAGGAAAAGGCTGGGGGCAGTGGGGGATTCATGTCTGGGGGCAATGTGTGGGGGTAAATTTAAAAAATGCAAAAAGAATTCGTTTTTTTGGGAAGTTGGAGGAGGTGCGGGTTTCCCAAAACTGTTGCCCAGGGGGTGGGGGAAAGGGGTTTTTGAGGGGTTCGGACATGTAGAGAGAATGGAGCAAAAACAGAATGATTTTCAAGGGGGTATCAGTCTGTAGGGGAAAGGGAAAAGGGGGGGTAGGGGTCGGCCTGGGAAAGGGGTTTGGGAGGGGGGGGGTTAAAGGGGGTTTTTTGGGTGCGAGGGGCTTGGACTTCCAGCGGGCATGCGGGGAGCGTTTTTAAATAGGAGTGAATGGAGACAAATGGTTTTTTTTACTTGACGTGCTGTTGGAGTTTTGAGCAAAGTAACTTTATTAAGGGATTAAAGGGAAAACCGGGGAGGCCGGACCTTTTAGTCCTGGAGATGGGGAAAACAGTGCCTGCACTCTGAAGGAGGGGGGTTAATGTTGCCCGTTTAAAAAAGTAGTGTAAGAAACCCTTTTTTGGCAAGACAGTGATGGAGGGAATGATGGGAAAGTTTTTCTTTTTCGGGCCCCCCTCCTTGGTGGGAATCGGCCGGTGGGGATAATAATAAAAAATAATAATAATATATATATAAAATTTTATATATAAAATATATATAAATATATTTAACAACACTGCGCTTTGCCAAAAGGGTTCGAAACCCCTGTTGTATGGCCCCCTCATGGTAAAACGAGAACCACATTTACCCCTTTTAAAAAACCCCCAGGACCATCCAACCCTACAAGAAAAGGTGCAGCCCGCACAGAGCAGCTGGGTTGGGGCCGCCATTTCCCAGGGCCCCTACAGAGGGGGGGGAGCTTCTAAGGGTAAATTTTATTTCATTCCTGTTTGGTTTTTTACTAGCCTCACAAGCCCAAACGTCATATTTTTTCTCGGGTTACCATGAGACAGGCCGGCCCCATGGGTTTTGAAAACCTTGGCTAGCGCAGTGTTGTTATTGATCAATCCCACTCTTTCGTGGTTAAAAATATATAAATGTGCTCGTGGGTAGTACACCAAACAAGGATGAGAATGAAAATTAGCTTAAAAGGGTCCCCACCCCCTTTTTTAAATCCCCTCGGATGGGGCCCAACAGTAGCTGTGTCTGGCGTGCCTTTTTGTGGGGTTGGGTGGTCCTGTGGTTTAAAGCATCATTTGGTTCTCGCTACCATAGGCGGGCCAATACGCAAGGTTCGAAATTTGGGAAAGCCAGTGTTGTTATTGATCAATACCACACGTCGTGGTTACAGTTTTTATAATATATATATTTATAATATAATATTTTTAATATATATAATATATTTATGTGTGTTGGTGCGCTGCCTCCTTCCCTTCCCGTTTTGTGTTGACTAGAAATGGTCCAATCGGACCAAAACATTGTCACAAGTTTTTCTCCTATTTCGGGAAAAAAGGACCCTTATGGAAATTCACTGTGACCTTTTATGGGTATCCTAGTAATTTACAAAACGTTACTTTTATGAAATTTGCGTAGCTTTACGGGGTGGCCCAAAGTCTGGACACACACTTCATGGTACCTGTACCTAAAAAAAATTTATTGTTTGTACAATAGAAACCTCTTACCTGGATTTACCTGGAGAGATTTTCGGGGGCAACCCCCCCCGGGGCCCGGTCTGTGCCAGGCCTCCTTGGGGGATCAGCGCCTGATAACGGGGTTTGCTGCGGCTGACGCAAACCAACGACGAGCCCACCCGGCTGATCAGGAACGACTTTGGGTTTGCCCAGTGCCAGCTTGAAGATGCCAGGGGTCTGTTGGAACCCCCCCATTTTGTGCTGGGAGGCATTTAAAACAGTTCGGGCCCTGACACTTATTGTTGGTCTTTTAAAGGGCCCTGGCCCCCCTGCTTTTCAGGGGGGGGATGGTGCATCGTCTCCAAGTCTTTTGCTTTCGTATGAGGATTTTCGTGTGCAAGTTGGGTACTAGTCCCCCTAGGTCATAACGTTTCCCGAACACAAGAAATTGGTTGATGACCAAAAAATTTCCAAATTTTTGCCTAGTCACAAACACAAATGGGGTCTGAAAAAAAACACACCGAGAATTTTTTCCATTCTGCGCCATTTTTTTTTTTTTTTGCATGATCAATTTTCCCTTTTTCCCTGTTGTGTATACCTAACAAAATCCCCTTGTGTTGGTCTCTGTCAACACGTTCATTCACTGTGATTTTGAGGTAAGGATAAAGTACCCCTTATAGAGAAAAACTTTGATTGATTGATTGATCCTTTACCCCCCTGTGTATTTATATTAGAAAAACGTAGGGGTTTACAGTGCTAACTGTGATATACACTCGAAATGCCCCATAAAACTAGGAAAATTTATTCGGGTAACACAAATACACAAATACAGGTTCCAAATACAGTTACCCAGATTATCTACAAAACAGCATAGTGTAGAAAAAAAAAGGGTAACCCCAAAAAAAGTCGATTTTTTTTTAGTGCACGCTCTTTTTTATCAATTATCTCGGGGAAACAATTTTTTCAAATTTTTTCGTAATTTGACTTATAAATTCGGGGTTGCAAAGTTTTACGCAGTATGCACGTGGCCTTGTGCCATCCCACTAGGTAAGGCCCCGTGACCTATGGCTAAAAAACTCTCGCTTCACACGGCGAGGGGGCTCGTTTGATTCCCCGCATGGGTAGAAACATTGGGCGGTTTCTTGCACCGGTTTTCTATGTTCACCCATCAGTAAAATGGGTACCTGGGAGTTAGTCGACTGGTGTGGGTCGCATCCTTGACAAAACTGATTAATTTTTCGGGAAAAGCTCTGCATAACAAGGGGTTTCTATATATAGTATGTCACTGATGTCAGCTATGGGCTGTATACCTTGTCATTACTTGTAGTAAATGAAGATTATTGTATACATGATTTTTTTAATATTTTTTTTTTTTTGTTTTTTGCTGGCTATCTTATTTAAAAATTGGGCAATGTTGATGGAAAGATCTCTTAAAAGACACCGAAAAGAAAGACTCGGCGATAATTAAAAGGGGTTCACTTTCCCCCATTAAAGTCACTTAAAAACTTAAAAAACTGGGTGGCCCGGGGCCGGGATAGTACCGACCTACCTGGAGTTCTTACCTTTGAAATTGTGAGTTCATTACCTTTGTAAATTGTATTCATTACCTTTGTAAATTGTGATTTTTATTACCTTTGTAAATTGTGATTCATTACCTCTGTAACTTGCTCAGCTATCAAAAATTTGGGCCAGTCCCTGGGCCAAATTTTGTCCTCTGAAAACTTTTGACTACCCCCACAGGATGAGTATGGGGTGCATAATAAACATATTAAACTAACTGGTGGCTAAAGCTCCCGCTTCACACACAGAGGGCCCGGGTTCAATTCCCGGAGGGTGGAAACATTTCGACATGTTTCCTTACACCTATTGTCCTGTTCACCTAGCAGCAAATAGGTACCTGGGTGTTAGTCGACTGGTGTGGGTCGCATCCTGGGGGACAAGATTAAGGACCCCAATGGAAATAAGTTAGACAGTCCTCGATGACGCACTGACTTTCTTGGGTTATCCTGGGTGGCTAACCCTCCGGGGTTAAAAATCCGAACGAAATCTTATCTTATCTTATCTTGTATAATGAGGACTAAGGGTGAGACGCAAGCTTTGGTAGCCCTCACAACCACCAACACTAGAAGGGTTCGAAACAGCGCAAGGTGTCACTGGCCCTATAAACCCTAATAACAAGAAGAAAAATTGGTACATCTACAACAACTGTGTTGTTATTGTGTTGTTATTTGTATTGCTTGTATGGTGACACATGTTTCTCATCATTATATATTCATAATATGATAGTGCAGTGTTCAACATGGTCGAAAATGATACCAGGTGCCCACCAGTGGGTCAATAACGCACTATAACTGAAGCGTTTCACACACGCACTACCACGGTGAAACGTTTTGCACTCACTACCAGACGGTGAAACGTTTCGGACACGACTACTACACATAAGAACATTATTATTATTATTATAATCATGTGGAGCGCTAAACCCGTAGGGTTTTACAGCGCATGTAGGGGGGATGGAAGGTATTCAGGCTCATTTCAGGGAACTGGAGCACAGATCCAATTCCCTAGATCAAGAGCCTCTCACCAGCGTCAAGAAACTTCCCTTGAGGGGTATAAGATCATAAGGAAGAAGGAACACTGCAGCACACCTACTGGCCCATGCGAGGCAGGTCCAAGTCACCTACAAGCTTATGCCACTAACTCAACATAGTCATGTCTAGGTCAAATCCACTTAAGGAAGGAGCAAGGCATTGGGCCTGACTAGCACAAACTAGTCCTGACTAGCATAAGCTAGTCAGGTCCAACTTGTACCCACCCACACCCACTCATGTATTTATCTACCCTATTTTTAAAGCTAAAGAATGTTTCAGCTTCTATGACGGTACTCGGGAGTTTGTTCCACTCATCCACAACTCTATTACCAAACCAGTGCTTTCCTATATCCTTCCTGAATTTGAATTTTTCAAACTTGAAACCATTGCTGCGAGTCCTGTCTTGGCTACATATTTTTAACACGTTACAAATTTACATCCCCTTTATTTATTCCTGTCTTCCATTTATACACCTCAATCATATCCCCCCTAATTCTACGTCTTTCTAGAGAGTGCAGTTTCAGGGCCCTTAGTCTATCCTCATAGGGAAGGTTTCTGATACATGGGATCAACTTTGTCATCCTCCTTTGTACATTTTCCAGAGAATTTATATCCATTCTGTAATACGGTGACCAAAACTGTGCAGCATAATCTAAATGAGGCCTAACCAAGGATGCATAGAGTTGAAGAACAACTTGAGGACTTCTATTATTTATACTTCTTGATATGAAGCCAAGAATTCTGTTAGCTTTATTGCGAACACTTATGCACTGTTGTCTTGGTTTCAGATTACTGCTAACCAGAACTCCTAAATTCTTTTCGCAGTTAGTAATATTAAGATCTACATTATTTAGTTTATATATGGCATGGTTATTTTCTTGTCCAACATTTTGAACTTTGCATTTGTCTATATTAAAATGCATCTGCCACTTCTCTGACCATGCATGAGTTTATTCAAATCATTTTAAGTGCTCTAATAGCCTCATTAGAATGAATTGGATGGCCTATTTTGGTGTCGTCAGCAAATTTGCTTACATCTATGTCATTTATGTAAATTGTGAACAATGAGGGGCCCAACACTGACCCCTGTGGAACACCACTTGTGATGTTCCCCCACTCTGATTTCTACCCATTTAAGCAAACTCTCTGCTGCCTATTTGTCAACCATGCCTCTACCAGGGAAAAAATTTCTCCTTTTCCGTGTGCACGGTGAAACGTTTTGCAGTACAGCAGGCGGACAACACATGCATGCACAGGTACCCCGTAGCCTGGCTGGCAAAGCTCTGGCTTCACACGCTAAGGGCCTGGGTTCAATTCCCGGCGGGGTGGAAACATTTTGACGCGTTTCCTTACACCTGTTGTCCTGTTCACCCAGCAAGTAGATACCTGGGTGTTAGTCGACTGGTGTAAGTCGCATCCTGGGAGACAAGATTGAGGACCCCAATGGAAATAAGTCAGACAGTCCCTCGATGATGCACTGCTTTTTTTGGGTTATCCTGGGTGATTAACCCTCCAGGGTTAAAAATCTTTTCTTATTCACCTGGAACACTTTTCTTGTAGACGTTTTGGTTCATTGGACGTTCATCACCTCAGATGTTCAAGGACCAAAACGCCTTCAGTAATGGTGTCCTAAGCAAATGCATTTGATTTCGTAATGTTATGGGATGTTTTGCTCACTGAGCAAGTTGACAAAGTTGCCATAATAAATGTGCTTGTGCTGCACTTGTGTCTTATCTACTGTTATTGTTCAAGTGGACAGAACACTTCAGGGGCCAAGTAGAAGAAGTAAGTCAGGCTCATAAGGTGGGCATGAATCTATGGTCCCTCTTAGTGACCTGACCTAATTTCAGGTCATCTGCTTACATGTGACAATGTCTTCAAGGCTCCAGTATGAAAGGCTGTTTTCTGGTATCCTATTTTGGTTCTCTACCATTTTAGAAGATTTTTTTTATTTTAAATGCCAATATTGTCAGCACAATTAATTTTAGGGCTTCCGACAGTGAAAGGAAATCAGCTTTAATATACTTTTTATCAGCTTTTGTTAATTGCATTTTCCAGTATTTATAAAACACTTGTCAATGTGACCCCTCTATAGTTTGATGGGGCTTCCTAGTTATATTTAATAAATACTAGTACAGTGGACCCTCAACCAATGGCATTAATCTGTTCCAGAGAGCTTGCCGTTAGTCGAAATTGCCGTTGGTTGAATTAATTTTCCCCATAAGAAATACGCAATGGAAATAGAATTAATCCGTTCCTGATGCCCCAAAATCTGAAAAAAAAAAAAATTACACGAAATATAAATTTCCTGACACCAAAACGAATGGGACATGCAAAATAAACAATAATTAAATGCCACTTACCTTTATTGTGGAGTTGTTGATGAGTGATGTGCCAGCAGCAAGGGAGATTCAGGATTGTCTATTGCTTGGAAGGAGAATCCCCTTCCATAAAGACTTCAGGTACCAAGTCCTTTGGTGGGGTTACCTCCCTTCTTAGTTTTTTAATGCCACTAGGACCAGCTTGAGAGTCACTGAACCCCTGTCGCACAAAATAACTGTCCAGAGAGCTCTGTTTCTCACGAGCCCTTAGGATTTCCCTAAAATGGGACACAAGAGTGTCATTGTACATGTTGCCAGTGTGGCTTGCAAGTTCTGTGACAGAATAAAATTCATCCATAAATGCTTGCACCTTTGTAAACATTGAACACACTTCCCTAATCCTTGACGAAGTCATCTTCCTCCATCTCTCTTCATCCTGCTCTGAAGAACATTCCTGAGATGTGATCTGTTGCTGTTGCACCTGAAGCTCTTGCAGGTCTGCAGTGGTTAGTTCTTCCTCGTCGTTCTGCACCAACTCTTCCACATCCTCGTCACAAACCTCCAACCCCAAGGACTTCCCCAATGACACAATAGCTTCCACTGCTGGCATAGGCTCCTGAGGGTTAGCCCCAAACCCTTCAAAATCCTTCTGTTCTACACCTTCTGGCCACAGTTTCCTCCAAGCAGAGTTCAAAGTCCTCTTAGTCACTCCCTCCCAAGCCTTACCTATAAAGTTTACACATCTGAGGACATTGAAGTGATCTTTCCAAAACTCTCTTGGGGTCAGTTGAGTGTCTGAGGTCACTTCAAAGCACTTTTGAAACACTGCTTTTGTGTAGAGTTTTTTGAAGTTTGAAATGACCTGCTGGTCCATTGGCTGGAGGAGAGGAGTTGTATTAAGAGGCAAAAACTTAACTTTAACAAAACCAAACTCCCCTGCAATTTCCTCTTGCAAGTGGTGAGGATGAGCAGGAGCATTGTCCATTACCAGGAAGCACTTGAGTGACAATTTCCTTTCCTGGAGGTATTTTGTCACAGTGGGGCCAAACACACCATAAAACCAGTCCAAGAAAAATTCCCTAGTGACCCATGCCTTACTGTTTGATCTCCACAGCACACACAAATTACCCTTGACGATATTGTTTTTCTTGAACACTTTGGGAGTTTCAGAGTGATACACCAATAAAGGCTTCACTTTGCAATCACCACTAGCATTACTACACAACATTAATGTCAGCCTGTCTTTCATAGGGTTATGTCCTGGGAGTGCCTTTTCCTCCTGAGTAATGTAGGTCCTGTTTGGCATTTTCTTCCAAAACAGGTCTGTTTCGTCACAAACACTTGTTCAGGTTTTAACTTTTCAGTGTCTGTGTACTCCTTAAAGTCCTGCACATATTTTTCAGCTGTTTTTTTGTCTGAACTGGCTGCCTCACCATGCCTTACCACACTGTGTATGCCACTACCAATCTTAAACCTCTCAAACCAGCCTTTGCTGGCCTTAAATTCATCAGCAGCAGCACTATTTTGAGGCATTTTCTTCATGAGATCATCATGCAACTTCTTTGCCTTTTCACAAATTATAGACTGAGAAACACTATCACCTGATAATTGTTTTTCATTTATCCATACCAATAACAGTCTCTCTACCTCTTCAATCATTTGCGGTCTCCATTTTGAAAACATACTTGAACCTTTCGCAACAACAGCTTTTTGGATTGCCTGTCTGTTCACCGTTAGTACTGATGATTGAATGTGATTTGTTGTATTGCCTTTCTAACTCAGCCATACGCACTCCACTCTCATATTTTTCAGTGATCTCCTTCTTCATTTCCATCGTAATTCTCACCCATTTTAATACAGGCTTGGCACTAGAAGCTTTCTTGGGGCCCATGGTGGCTTATTTAGCAGTTACAAACACTAAAAACAGTGGAATAATCCAAAATATATGGGAGGCACACGTGGACACCGACCGCAACAGCTTGCAAAAAATGGCACTCTGAGTGGTGGAGTGGCTGGGCCGCCCGCTCAGACCGCGCTCTGGGCACATGGACATGTTCTGGACGGACATCGTTGGTAGAGTGTTTTGCCCTTGGTTTAGGTATTTTTTTATGGCAAAAAGTGACGTTAGACGAAATTGCCATTACTTAATGCTGCCATTAGTTGAGGGTTGATTGTACAATGTGTGCCATGTTACATTTAACTGCTAATTTTCCTTCTTTTAATAAAATAAAAAAATTCCAACATGTATATCATAATTCTTCTTGTGCACATTCTTGTAAAACGGAAGGTGTTGTCCTGTCTGGTCCAGTTGCTTTCTTATTCACATCCACTAGCAATTTTTTAACTTTGCTATCAGTTATTTCAATATCCTCTATTTCAATAGTCTGGGATTAAAATCAGCTAACATTTAAAATATATTCAGCAAACCCACTCTGAAGCTTTCTATTTAATACCTCACACTCCTCTATTTCAGTGATTTTTGCCATTTTTCTTTATTTTTTGTATCATTTGTTTAACATTTGATTTACGTACTTTTTACAGACTTGAATAAAGCGTATGGTTCTATTTTGCTCTTTAGTACTAATTCTTTTTCAGAGTGTCTTTCTGCCTCTCTCTCCTTACATTTGTGTATTCATTCTTAGCCTTCTTGAATCTAATACGATACTTCACTAGTCTGCTTTCTACTACATGTATTGATTCCTAGTTCCATTTTGGTTCATTGCTCTCTAGCACATTCTATTAAACCATTCTTTATTATATCATCTTATATTCATTTTTAGATTAAACTGCCTGATTTCATTTTCATATATGTTACAGAGCTGCTTCCACAGATTATTTCCATCTTTTGTTTATATTATGATGTTTCACTGAGTCTCCCTAATTGTTGTTTTTAAAGTACTATATTTTCCTTTCTTATAATGCAAGCATTCTTCTTCTTTATGCATTGCCCCTTTACCTTGTCAGTTATATTTAACAGCCTCTGTTATTTTCAGTAGATCATGATAACTCTTTCCAAATGAATTTATATAGCTTATGTTGAAAGTTTCCTCCTCTGTTCATTGATGGTGTGTAACTTTCTCTAATTCCTGTTGCTTCATTTATATGTTGATGCATAAAAAACTGTCATTAAGAATCCTATTAACCCTTTATTTACAGTTTGAGCCTTATAAGCTGCCCAGCCTATTTCTTTATTGTTAAAATCTTCAATTGCAAATAACCTTTTTCTTTTCATAGTTACTATTCACCATTAGGCCCTTTATTATATTATGTAATCCCTCAGTTATCTTTTCAAATTCTTTTCTCTCCTAAGTACAGTATTAACTACTTAGATTTTCTATTCTTCATCTTGTACTTTGTATCACTAAAATTTCAAAGTTTTTTGTGTTTTGGATTTAAGTTTCTGTAACTTGTGCTAAGAGAAAAACTCAGAGAAAAATTTCAGTTCATGTGTCATCCTTTATGTGATTTATTTTCTTGTTTTGTAGTTTTGAATTTGTATTGTTGTTTTATACTTAAGCTTACAGTTTACTTTATATATGAATATGTTATATTTACGTATTGCAGGAACACTGAGGAGAAAATGGAGGAATCAGAAATTTCAGGCTTTAGTGACAATCGTGTTGAAATAAAAGCACCTTTGACGGTGGTTAGTGGATCATTAGAGATGATTGAAGAGACCAAGCCTCGTAATCAAGCTAGTAATGAGGAAGACAAAGTACTCACTGATACAGAGGCTGGATCACTAGAGATGACTGAAGAGATGAAGTCTTGTGATGAAACTAGTAATGAACATGAGAAAATACTCAGTGATACAGAGGTTGGATCACTAGAGACAACTGAAGAGATAAAGTCTTTTGATGAAACTAGTAATGAACATGAGAAAATACTCAGTGATACAGAGGCTGGATCACTAGAGATGACTGAAGAGATAAAGTCTTGTGATGAAACTAGTAATGAACAAGACAAAGTACTCAGTGATACAGAGGCTGGATCAGAGATGGCTGAAGAGATAAAGTCTTGTGATGAAACTAGTAATGAAGAAGACAAAGTACTCAGTGATACAAAGGCTGGATCAGAGATGGCTGAAGAGATAAAGTCTTGTGAGGAAACTAGTAAGGAACAAGACAAAGTGTTCAGTGATACAGAGGCTGGATCACGAGAGATGACTGAAGAGATAAAGTCTTGTGATGAAACTAGTAATGAACAAGACAAAGTACTCAGTGATACAGAGGCTGGATCATTGGAGGTGACTGAAGAGCTAAAGTCTTGTGATGAAACTAGGAATGAAGAAGACAAAGTACTCAGTGATACAGAGGCTGGATCAGAGATGGTTGAAGAGATAAAGTCTTGTGATGAAACTAGTAATGAACAAGACAAAGTACTCAGTGATACAAAGGCTGGATCAGAGATGGTTGAAGAGATAAAGTCTTGTGATGAAACTAGTAAGGAACAAGACAAAGTGTTCAGTGATACAGAGGCTGCCGAAGTGGAAACAGACTTTCACATAGAAAGTGAAATGAAAGATTTAACAGAAGCAAAGAAAAATCCATCACATGTGAGTGAAAATGATGAATTGAGAATGTTGAGTGATACAAAGACAAATAAAGTGAGAGAAGAATTTTCCAAGGAAAATGAAATGAGAGATATACCAAAGGCAGTTAAAAGTTCATCAGATGTTATTAAAAACAGAGAAGCCAAAGTACTGAGTGATGCAGAAGCTACGACTGCTAACGTAGAGGCAGGTTTTAACAAAGAAAATGAAATAAAAGACATAGAGACAGAGAAAAAGTCATGTAATGTTATCGAAGACAACGAGGACAAAGCGCCGAGTGATGCAGAAACTACTAAAGTAGAAGGAGACTGTGATGGAGTTAATGAACATAAAGACATAGCAGAGGCAAATCAAAAGTTGTCAGAAGTAATTGAAAACAACAGACACACCATTGCTAGTAATGAGCAACAAGCAGATGATGACATACATAGAGAAAGTGATACAGACAAGGAGCATAATGAAAATGAGAAGGTAAAAATGAACAATGAACCAGATTGTCCTTCCAGTCAAGATTATGAATTAATTGCTGGACATTATTATTATACAGATCACACATCAGGCCAAAGATACAAGTTTGATGCAATTGCTGGTGAATGGGTTGTAAATAATGGAGAGAAAGATAATGAAAATAAGGATGCACGGAAGACAACAACGGACAGTGAAGGAAGAACGTATTACTATGCTGAAAATATGTACCTGTGCAAAGACTCCCATGGAAATGTATTTTACTTAAATGATAACCAAGAGTGGAAGTCATGGTCAGAGCGACCAAGTCCCAATGCTAACTCAAGTGAAGAACAAAATATTTCAAAATGGTATTTTTATCAAGGTGATTCAATGTTTTATAGAGACAATGTGTCAAATATTGTTTACAAGTTAAATAAAGAAAGTAATGCATGGGAAGTATATGAAGGAAAATTGAAAAGAAAAAGACCACGGATTGACGAGGAGGAAGAATTCGACACCGATGAAGATTCTGATGAAGAATTTGGCAATGAATTACAGCCTCCTGGTGCACGTAGTGACCCCAACATTACCTATGATGGAGTTACATATACTAAACTTGACCCAAGTGACAAGATGATGTATGAGTGGGATGCTAACAGACGAGCATGGTTCCCCAAGGTAATTAAGTGTATGTATTTATCTTGCATTCTGGAGGTGGGAAGTATTTTGCCTGTTCTCTGAAGGATGGATGGGGATGTGCTTCAGAATGCCATTTACATTGTGATGTCTGTGTGCTCTTCGAAATGAATAATGAATGCTTTCTTCTTTGGGCCATCTTACTTTGGTGGGAAAGTGCTAAAGTTATAAAAACAAAGACTTGAGTCCTTATGGTGGGGAAGGGTGGGGATATTTGCAGTTTTGAACTGTAGCACTGGCACCCCTCTGGCAAATCAGTGATGGAGTGAATGATGGTGAAAGGGTTTCTTCATTTGTGGGTCATCCTACCTCAGTGGGAGATGGCAAGGTGATGAGATTAACACAAAATCTAGGCAGTAAAAGATGGGTCATCAGATTGGAGAGATGAAGTATGGAGGAAGTGAATGTGTTTAGATATTTGGAAGTGGACTTGTGAGTAGATATTTCTATGAAAGATGAGGTGACCCATAGAATTGATAAAGAGAAAAAGTTGAGTGGTGCATCAAGGCATCTGTGGAGACAAAGAACTTATCCATGGATGCAAAAAAAGGGGGTAATGTACCAGATTATAGTGGTACCATCTTTACTATATGGGTGTGAAGCATGGGTTTTAAATGTTACCGTAGAAGGAGGTTGGAGGAGCAGAGATGTCATTTTTGAGGAGACTGTGTGGTATGAGTATTATGCAGAGAATTAAGAACTTGGAGATAAGAATTAAATGTGGGGGTTACTAAAAGTATTATTCAGAGGGCTGAGAAGGGGTTGTTGAAATAGTTTGGATATTTATAGAGAATGGATCAAAATAGGATGTTTAGGAGTGTTTATAAATTTGGGGTGGAGGGAAGGATAAGGATTGTCCTAGTGCCCCAGTGCCCCGTGGCCTGGTGGCTAAATCCCTCGTTTCACACGGCGAGGGTCAGGGTTCGATTCTTGGCGAGGGTAGAAACATTGGGCATTTTTTTTACACCTGTTGTCTATGTTCCATATCGGTAAAATGGGTACCTGGGTGTTAGTCGACTGGTGTGGGTCGCATCCTGGGACACAATTGACCTAATTTGCCTGGAATGCTCTGCATAACAAGGAACTTTCTTTATTGTAGTATGTTATTGATGTCAGGTATGCCTGTATACCTTGTACTTGTACTTGTAAAATAAAGAGGCGTGGAGTTAAAAGATAAAGAATCACACACAAAGTGGGAGTTGTCACAGCTGCTCTTTGCCGATGACACTGTGCTCTTGGGAGATTCTGAAGAGAAGTTGCAGAGATTGGTGGATGAATTTGGTAGGGTGTGCAAAAGAAGAAAATTAAAGGTGAATACAGGAAAGAGTAAGGTTATGAGGATAACAAAAAGATTAGGTGATGAAAGATTGAATATCAGATTGGAGGGAGAGAGTATGGAGGAGGTGAACGTATTCAGATATTTGGGAGTGGACGTGTCAGCGGATGGGTCTATGAAAGATGAGGTGAATCATAGAATTGATGAGGGAAAAAGAGTGAGTGGTGCACTTAGGAGTCTGTGGAGACAAAGAACTTTGTCCTTGGAGGCAAAGAGGGGAATGTATGAGAGTATAGTTTTACCAACGCTCTTATATGGGTGTGAAGCGTGGGTGATGAATGTTGCAGCGAGGAGAAGGCTGGAGGCAGTGGAGATGTCATGTCTGAGGGCAATGTGTGGTGTGAATATAATGCAGAGAATTCGTAGTTTGGAAGTTAGGAGGAGGTGCGGGATTACCAAAACTGTTGTCCAGAGGGCTGAGGAAGGGTTGTTGAGGTGGTTCGGACATGTAGAGAGAATGGAGCGAAACAGAATGACTTCAAGAGTGTATCAGTCTGTAGTGGAAGGAAGGCGGGGTAGGGGTCGGCCTAGGAAGGGTTGGAGGGAGGGGTAAAGGAGGTTTTGTGTGCGAGGGGCTTGGACTTCCAGCAGGCATGCGTGAGCGTGTTTGATAGGAGTGAATGGAGACAAATGGTTTTTAATACTTGACGTGCTGTTGGAGTGTGAGCAAAGTAACATTTATGAAGGGATTCAGGGAAACCGGCAGGCCGGACTTGAGTCCTGGAGATGGGAAGTACAGTGCCTGCACTCTGAAGGAGGGGTGTTAATGTTGCAGTTTAAAAACTGTAGTGTAAAGCACCCTTCTGGCAAGACAGTGATGGAGTGAATGATGGTGAAAGTTTTTCTTTTTCGGGCCACCCTGCCTTGGTGGGAATCGGCCGGTGTGATAATAAAAAAAAAATAAAAAAATATTTTTATTATTAAAAAGGTTGGAGAGAGGGGCCAGAGGAAGTTTTGAGTGCTTGAACATCTAATGGGCTTGTGTGCGAACATAAGATAGGAGTGAGTGAAGGCAAGGTTTCTGTTGACTTGATGTGCTGTTGGAGTGTAAGGTATCATGAAGGGATTCAGAGAAACCTGTTAGTCAGACTTGAGTCCTGGAGGTGGGAAGTACAGTGCCTACACTCTGAAGGAAAGGTGAGTATGTTGCAGTTCAGAGGACCATCTGATCTGTGATGTCAGTATGATGCTGGCAAGACAGTAATTGAATGAGTGATGGTGAAGACGTTTCCTTCTTTTCTGGGTCACCCTACCTCAGTAAGAGATGACTGGTGTGTTAAAAATAACTTAAAATTGTCAGCATACATTTAAGAGAGATTTGTTGAGAGATCAATTTTAAGGGCAGCTTGGTTTGTTTAACTGGCTGCCTTTAAAGTGCAGCCAATTAAACAGGTTCATGTAAATGATCAAAAGGGTCAAAAATGCAAATGCTAAAGTTGAGGCTTTAAGATTAATATAGACCTGGTGAATACACCAGTACAATGTCTAACAGGGTATACCTATCTATACATCTTCATTATACACAGTTTATATTATTTCTCCCACTTCTATAATGTTTTTTACCAAAAGACCAATATTATTCAAGAAGAATTTGCTTACTGCTTCCCTAAGAAAATAATAATACCTGTAACATTAATAATAATTGCAATAATAATCATAATAATAATAATGATTATAAATACATGTATAGTAATTTAGTTATTATGTTTTGCAGGTTGATGAGGATTTCATGGCTACATATCAGCTGTCATATGGGTTCAACCCAGATGGTACCAAAAATTTAAATCCGCTGAAGTTTGATGATGAGGCAGAGGAAGCAGCAGCAAGATTAGATGAGGAAGAGGAAAACAAGAAAGCTAAGGCCAAAGCTAATCAAACAAAGAAAAAGCCATGTAAGCTTATTCATTTACCATTTACAGTAAAAACCTCTCATTAAAGGACTAATGGGGGGGGGGAAGAGGTGTATACTAAGGTGTCCCATGGCTTGGTAGACAACGCGTTTGCCTCATGTACTGAGTGTCCGTGGTTCGATCCCCGGTAAGGATAGAGACATTGGGCGTGTTTCCTTACACCTGCTGTTCCATTCACCTAGCAAGCAAGTAGGTACCTTGGTGTTAGTCGACTAGTACGGGTTGCATCCTGGGGGACAAGATTTAAGGACCCCAAATGGAGATAAGACAGACAGTCCCTCGATGACACACTGACTTTCTTGGGTTATCCTGGGTGGCTAACCCTCTGGGGTTAAAAATCCAAACAAAATCTTATCTCTTATCTTACGGTAATGCCAATAGTCCACAACTCCGAAATCACAAAATTAATATTTCATGATTGTCCAGTTGTCTTCTGAAGTAGTGGACTTGGTCCATTGATGTTAAATACAACCAGACACTAAAAATATGGGTATTGTATTGTATGGTAAAGTTCTCCTCAACTTATGATGGCATTATGTTCCAATGAATCAGTTGTGAGTTGAAAATATCATAAGTCGAATATGAGTATTCTCCTTACAACAGACCAGCCGTATCCTACCGAGGCAGCATGGCTCAAAAGGAAAGACAAAAGTTTCTTCTTTTAAACTTAGTAATATATAGAGAAGGGGTTACTAGCCCCTTGCTCCAGACATTTTAGTCGCCTCTTACGACATGCATGGCTTATGGAGGAAGAATTCTATTCCATTTCCCCCTTGGAGAATGTATGAATACTATATGATAAATAAATACTTAAATGATTAACTTCTGTCAATAAGTAAATAAACAAATAATTACTGTAACTAACTAAATACCAGTATTGAAAAGTAAATAAATGAATACAAGATCAAAATTCAAAGTTTGACGACTACTGAATGTGCATCACTATTGCACCATCATAAGTTGAAATATCGTAAATCAAGCCATCGTACAGCAAGGAACATTTTATTGTATTGTGCGTAATTTAAAGTAATTTGACTTACATTTTCATGGTATTGAGATGAGGTGTAAGCTGCTATGGTGACAGTAGCAGCTCAGAATAGCTTTTATTCTGAGTCATAGGAGCTCTACCAGTGAAAATTATGTAGATGGTTGAGAAGACATAAATGGTTGAGAAGACATAGATGGCTGAGAAGACATAGATTTCTGAGAACCACATGCTTTCTTACCATCACTTGCTTTTGAAACCATTGTTAATTATTATTAATTGCATTTTATTATTAATGTAAATAAAGTCATGGAAAAATGTTCTATATCTAGGCAAAGTTAGAGGCTGAACGATGAGTGTATACATAAATGAGCACAAATAATAAATGGGCACATGCAGCCTACTGCTCAGTGAACAGTGAAAATGGACAGTTCCTGGATGTGGCCACTTTTCCCAAACCGGACAAGTGTTGGAGTAAGCAGACTTGGCCTGATGCTTCAGAAGACAATCAGACACTATCACAGTGGACAAAATACAGAATTGTGAACTTTTGTCCATTTTGTTCAATAATTAGAGGGTGTCCCATCAGTTTTTTGTCTGAATTTTTGGTCAAAAATTATTTCTATGGACAAAATACAGAATTATGAACTTTTGTCCATTTTGTACAATAATTGGAGTGTCTGACCAATTTTTTTTTTTTTTTTTGTCTGAAATTACTAAAATCTGTTAATAAGGTTGGTGAGTTGAAGATTTCAAACATTTACAAATAAGGAACTTCCATTAGTTCTGTAATTGTCCTTGTAAATTTTCATGCCAGTTACGACACTTATAACTTTAAAAAGACTCATGAGCCAACGATAGGATGTATTTATCACAAAATGTTTTGGTTCTTGATCACTTCTTGCATATAGATGTGATTAAAGTTCCAGGACAAAAACATTTTCTAACAAATTTGTCCTAGTGTTTGCTTATGTGCATTTTTCAAGTAAAGACACTCTTCACTTAATGACCTACCTGTTTAATGATTGCTCAGACTTAAGACCAGCTCTCTGACCAGTCGGTATACTGTATACAGTACAGTCGGTGTACTGTATACAGTACAGTAGACTACTGTATAAACATTAAAAATATATATACTAAAAATGTTATAAATCTTACTAAGGTGACATTAAAACAATATGTAAAGATGGTTGATACAAACCTACTACCAGTACAGTATCTACCACAGTATGGGCTGGGATTGAACTTGTGGCTAGTGAGTTGTAAAACTCCAGACCAGCATGTTAGCCACTGCGCCAGCTGACCAAGTAGCTAATGCAAATTCAATCCCTGCCCATACAGGGGTTTATTTGCAATCGTGTCATTCGATTTCATGAGTCAGTACAGTACATGTATGCTTGAAATATCGGTAAGGGGCAGGTCCTTGCTTATCAACCAATTCACTTAATGACCTAGTCATAGGAACAGAACTTGATCATTAAATGAGGAGTGCGTGTGTTACGGTTCGAATATTAGTCGTTTGCCAGGTTTAGTGCCCACCGTAACAAAATCACTTCCAAGAACACATAGGAACTTCCAATATTGGAAATATAAGGCACAAATGAGGATTACTCAGCATTTTGCAGGCTTTTTATTAAAATATTTTCCTTGGATATTCGTAAATATCTATTAATATTAATTAATGAGATTCTTTCAATAAATTAAAAGTCCTACATTGTAGGTATACAATAATACAGGTTTCAACAGTTAATTAGCACTTTCAATGTCTATACGGACACTACACTCGAAAATATTCAGAGGAGTAGAACTATTTCCTCTATAATAACATGGCTTTAATGAGTATGTCCATCAAAAGGAACTCCTTCACTGAGTAAGGTCAATATCACTTGTGACTTCTACACATGACACTCTTTGACACCTCGTATACTGAAGATATCTGGATATGACTTCTGCCGACTCCACCAGAGAATTTTCAACTCGAGCCAGTTCAGGAGTTTCTCAACTAGATACTCCAAGATACCAGGAGAGAACCGTACTAGAAGGTCTGCCAAGACGTTGTTCACCCAGTCAGCAGAGAGAGTGAACTGCCACAGACAGTGAATCCCTTCTTGACATCAACTCGTCAATAGGGGGAGAGGGTAGAGCGGTGCAAACTACCCACCAATGGACATACCTTGTTATCTACACATTACTCAAGATATATATATATATACACATCATACCCGGGTATATTCCTAAACCAGATAATATTATAAACTAGTCGAATCTTTAATTTAGCTAATATTAAAGAAACCCAGAGTACAGTGGACCCCCGCATAACGGACGCCTTGCATAACGGACAATCCGCATAGCGGACGCTTTGATCGCTAAAATTTTGCCCCGCATAGCGGACAAAAACCCGCTCAGCGGCCTTCGTCCGAGACGCGTCCAATGTGCGCCCTCAGCCAGCCTCACATGTGCCGCCGGTGGCATTGTTTACCAGCCAGCCTCCGCGGTAACATCCAAGCATACAATCGGAACATTTCGTATTATTACAGTGTTTTTTGTGATTTTTTTTCTGGAAAATAAGTGACCATGGGCCCCAAGATAGCTTCTAGTGCCAACCCTACAGCAATAAGGGTGAGAATTACTTTGGAGATGAAGAAAAAGATCATTGATAAGTATGAAAGTGGAGTGCTTGTCTCCGAGCTGGCCAGGTTGTATAATAAACCCCAATCAACCATCGCTACTATTGGTGGTACAGCTGCTGCTGCTGCTGTACCACCGTCAGCTGCTGCTGCTGCTGTAGTACCGTCTGCTGCTGCTGTAGCATCGTCTGCTGCTGCTGCTGTAGCATCGTCTGCTGCTGCTGCTGCTGCTGTAGCATCGTCTGCTGGTGCTGTAACATCGTCAGTTGCTGCTGTAGCATCGTCTGCTGCTGCTGCTGTAGCATCGTCTGCTGCTGCTGCTGCTGCTGTACCACCGTTGTTGGTGTGGCTTATTGAGAATACCAAGAAACAGTTAACCCCAGAGGATTTGCCACCCAGGATAACCCAAAAAAGTCAGTGTCATCGAAGACTGTCTAACTTATTTCCATTGGGGTCCTTAATCTTGTCTCCCAGGATGCAACCCACATCAGTCGACTAACACCCAGGTGAACAGGGAAAATGCCTGGAACTAGTGCTCATATTGGTGAATTTAGAGCCAGCAAAGGTTGGTTTGAGAGATTTAAGAATCGTAGTGACATACACAGTGTGATAAGGCCTGTTCTGGAAGAAAATACCAAACAGGACCTACAGTACTCAGGAGGAAAAGGCACTCCCAGGACACAGTGTCTCATCAGTCATTGCTGCATCTTCAATAAAGGTAAGTGTCATTTATTCTTCATTTAGTAGAGTAGTACATGCACAATATATATTGTGCATGTACTACTCTACTTTTGTGCATGTATCCTTCTCTTTGTGTGTAGGAAAATGTCTATTTCATGTGGTAAAATTTTTGTTTTCATACTTTTGGGTGTCTTGCACGGATTAATTTTATTTCCATTATTTCTTATGGGGAAAATTCATTCACATAGCGAACATTTCGCATAACAGCCAGCCCTCTTGCACGGATTAAGGTCGCTATGCGGGGGTCCACTGTATAATATTAAGTGGATTATACATATAAATTAATCACAAAGGGCACAAAGGGCGTAACACTCCTCCCGTACGACTGACTGTCGCACCAATAGACTTCAACTCATATCAGGCACACAATGCCTCTATTCTACACTATATATCCAGACAACTGCAAAGACAACATCCTTCAGAGTAAAAAAAAAATATTTTCCAGGGTCACTATGAAGCAGGAGTCAGGAAACGGATTTTTAATCTTTGCTCCAACTCAGAGGTAAACACACAATAGTTGACCTCTGGCGACGTCAGAAGCTGAGGACGTCATGGGAACACAACAGGAGACATGGCCAAAGCGGTGTACATTCTCAGCTTCTGCCAGACTGACATTCTGGATCTCAACT